CCCCAGCCCTAAACCCCAAACCCCCAAACCCTAAACCAGACACCCGACACCCTTTTCCGAAAACCTAAACTCTAAACCCTAATACAGAGACTGAATAATCAGAAAAGGGTTTTGGGGTAGATTTTGGACTATCAACATAAGAAGGAACCCCCAAAATAGTATTGGTAACTTATCTAAGGTTTTGGGGCAGATTGTAGACTATCAGTCTAAAAAGAACCCCCAAAATAGTATTGGTAACTATCTAAGCCCCCAAAATTAATTATTTTTGTTATTCCACCCAGCCCGAAAGCCCCCAAGCACGGCCAAGGTACGAAGATGTGCATCAGTGGCAGCGATACGTCAAGCCTCCGGTGCCCAGACCCCGTGAACCCAGACCCCCAAAAGAAATCCAAAAAGTAGGGTTTAGGGTTTAGGGTTTAGGGTTTAGGGTTTAGGGATCCAAAAAGTAGATCCCTTTTTAGGAGGGTTCCCACAAAGAGCCTCTAGTAGTATCGGGTCCCGAACTAAGGGTTCTCCTGTAAACCCTGAACCTTCAGCCCTAAACCCTAAACCGTCCCTAAACCCTAAACCCTAAACCCTGAACCCTAAACCCTAAACCGTCCCTCAACCCTAAACCCTAAACCCTCAACCGAGATTGTCCACCGACTGCGTGGCTGTTCTCACGTCTGCCCGTTCTCTCGCAATGGCCGTCGTCTCATCAGGCCCTGGCAACATGACCTTGTAAACCTCCGAGAAGAATTCGCTCATGCTGTGCTTCAAACGCTGCTTGGCAGCCTCCACCGAAGCAACGTCCAGCGGGCGTGTCAGATGCACAGTCACAGTGAAGCCCTTGTCGACAAGCTCTGCAGTTTCAGCAAACGCGGTAGAAGCCCGAGAAGAAAGACCAACCGGTGTCACGCTTTCGGCTTCGCCTAGACCGCGCAAACGTTGCAGCACCTTGAGCTCGTGTGTAGCCATGCACATTTGACAAACCCTGCCTTGCCGAGCTCTTTGGTAAGCCCTCTAAACCCTGAATCTAGTTCATGGTAGGGATTCTATTTAGAATTTCAACTTCTATTTCTTATTGAGTTTAAGTAACATGTTGCCCAACTCTGATAAAGAAATCCCTAAACCGCTACACCCTAAACCCCGAACCCCACGTAGCAAGCAGGGATTCGGGCTAAGGGTGCTTGCTTGCAACGACCAGTTACAACTTCCCATGAATCTTCACGTAAATATACCCCCGAACCTTGTTCCAAGTCCACGAGGCCCACCACAAATATCGCGGTAGCAGCAGCAATACTAGTCCAGAGTTTAGGGCAAGCAAAAGCAGAAGCTGCGCAGACACAAGCAATCACACAGCAATGACAGCCACAAGCGCAAGAATAGGACGACACATCCTAACGAACAGACACACCGCAAAAAAACCAAGCAGCGGCTCATATCAAGCAACAGCTCAAAACCTCAAGCTCCAACGCCGAATACTCTCTACCCCCAAACCCTAAACCCTGAAAGCCCAAACCCCTCCAACCCTAAACCCTAAACCCTAAACGTTACACCCTGAACCCTAAACCCTAAATCTCAAACCCTGAAAGCCTAAATCACCCCGCAACGCTAAACCCTAAACCCAAACCTTAAACCTGAACCCTAAACCCTAAATCTCAAACCCTGAAAGCCTAAGACCTAAACCCTAAACGTTAAACCCTGAACCCTAAACTCTAAACCTCAAACCCTGAAAGCCTAAAACCCCCTCAACCTCCCCAAAGCCCTGAGCCCTAACGTCTCTGTGCGCATGGCCGACTGGAAACTTCGAAGAGCAAAGATACCTGGGTTTAGGGTGTAGGGTTTATAGGGTTTACAGGGTTTATAGGGTTTATAGGGTGTGTAGGGTTTGTAGGGTTTATAGGGGGTTTTTGGTTTTATTTAGGGTTTAGGGATTTCGGTTTAGGAGTTTAGAGTAAAGCGTAATCCCGGCTGGTGTTTTGTTTAAGGGCCTTAAAGCCAAGAAGTGGGTTTTGGGGCATAATAGAGTGGGCCATCTCCTATTCTTGTACAGGTACAACGGTACTATGATTCCAGTTCCGCAGGTTAGATAAGGCCCCAAAACATAGAACACGGCTTTGGGGGTTGTAGTATAACTATCATGCAGACGGGCCTTCATGGGGCCTTGGGGATGTGACAGTATACTTAAAGACGGACCGTAAGGGGATACAAAATTGTAAGTATTCAAACCTCTATACAAAAATTGAACGGGTTGCAGGGTTGAAGGTATAAGTTCAGGAATTAGGGCTTCGGGCTACGGGTGCAGGATCTGGTGATGTTTGGACTACGAAGCCCCTTACTGAACGATGTGCCTCGAATGACCTTAGGGGCTGCGGGTCTAGGGTTTAGGGTTTAGGGTTTAGGGTTTAGGGTTTAGGGTTTAGGGACCTTCCAGAGGGTTTAGGGTTTAGGGTTTCTCCACCATCCGAGAGGCGCTGGATGAGATCACAACCTTGGTATGCGGAGGGTTTTGGTGCGTCTCGGTGACCTTGGCCACTAGATCTTGTGACCACTGTCGCTTCTTCACCCCATCTTGTGGCGGAGCTGTGTTGCCCTCACGCATGTAATTGACCACATCTTTTCCTTCAGTGACATCCTTCACCCCCATTGATATGGGTAGTTCTCTACATGTGCGTCCCCTTTTAGGTCCCCAATATAGTACGGCACCCTTATGAAAATGACCCTAAAAGGGACCACCATTTGGAGAACTATCCATATGGGGTTTTCCGAAAATAGGGGACCCCAATATAGTACCCTAAATGATAGGATCCTTATTATAAGGACCCCCAAAATAAGGTACCCCCAATTTTCGGAAAGTCCCATATAAGGAACGTGGATGACCGGGTCCCAGGAAGAGCTCCGCCGGAGGGCCTGCACTTGGAGCTTCATGCGACTTAATAACTACAGTTTAGGGTTTAGGGTTTAGGGTTTAGGGTTTAGGGTTTAGGGTTTAGGGTTTAGGGTAGTTATAAGTTATAAGTTCCTTAATTGGGGTTATAAGTAATTATATGTACAGTTACAAGTACCTCAATTGGGTTATAAGTAACTATAAGTATAGCTACCTCATTTAAAAGCCCAGCCGCTAAGTCCCATGAGCCTTTAAGCATGATGGCAGAGCACTCAACATCCGCGTTCGTGTCCACCATGTGCTGCTGCTTAGCCGAAATGATTTCCAGCGGCGCTTAAGGTTTAGGGTTTAGGGATGAGGGTTTAGGGCTTACCAATTAAGGTTTAGAGTTTAGGGGTTAGGGTTGCTAGCGTTTGGGGGTTATCTTCTGTCCTTTTTGTTGGGCTAACTGAGTTTAAGGTTTAGGGTCTATGCTATGGTCTGCAGCTTCAAACAAGGGTTCTATGATAGGGCAACCATAATTGGGCTGTCAGAAGGGTCTAGTAGCTATACTCTGTGTATTTCAAGGGTTCTTCAAGGGCCTATGCTTCTTTACAGGGCGCAAGCCTACCTAGGGTCTAAGGCTAAGATTCAAATGTTACTGTAGGGGCCTCAATAATTACTTTCTGGGGGTTCCTTGTTACAATTATACTATGAAGGACGCCAAAACTTTGTTCGAATTATTAAGGACCAGACATCCCCGAGCCCTCAGCTCCACATCCTAAACCGAACACCAAGGTTTCCGGCCGCATGGGGTTTGAGGTTCTTGGGCCATCCGGGGTTTTGGGGTCTTGGGGGGACTGCCGCCTCCTCCTCAGCGCATCGTTCTTCCAAGAATTCTCTCAAAGGCCTCGAGGGGTGGGATAAACCCCAAACCCAAAGCCTTAGAGCGTGCTTGTATAAGGACTCTTAGTTGGAATTAGTAGGGTTTAGGGCTCATAGTGGGGCCCACCCTAAACCCTAAACCCTAAACCCGAAAACCTACACCCCAAATCCTTAAACCTCTTAAGATGTCGAAAAGAGCTGCTGTCTTCGTCAGCGGCATCAGCGGGCCCTTGACGATCTGCTCGCCACCTGATTTCGGGTTCCCTAAGGCTCCAAATAGCTCAAAAAGCTCAAAAGCCCTAAACCCTAAACCCTAGATTTCGGGTTCCCTGAAGGGCTCAAGCTAGCTCCAAAAGCCTGGAAAAGCAGGGTCTTTGGGCCCAAAAACCTTAAAAAAAAGGTACCCCAACCTGAGGGGTTCCGGGTTAGGGTTTAGGGTTTAGGGTTTAGGGTTTAGGATTTCGTCTGGGTCCTAAAGTATTGAAAC